TGTGTTTATTTTATATTTAATTTTATTATCATTTTTTTAATTTAAAAATTTAATAATTAAATTATTTTAGTAATTAAATATTAAAAATTTATTTCTCTTTAATTCGTGCTACTATATATTAAATTTAATCTTACTTTATTTTAATTTAATTGTTTCATTATTTTTATGTTAATTTATTTTATTTCAAGTTATTATTATTAATAGTTATTTAATTTATATTAATTTACGTATCATATTTTTATTTATTTTATTTCCTTTATTTTTATTTTATTTAATCATTTCCGTATTGTATTATAAATATATGTATGTTCAATAGATATCACAATAATCATGTAGCTTAGTGGCTTTGTTGGCATGCTCTCTCTTGGGCATCCTGGGTTCGAGTCCCATTGCCTACACTATAATTTTTTGGCTTTTTCAATAAGATTCAGGAGGGTAAAATGGTAAATTAATTATTCTGAAAATAAAAAAATTGAATAAATCTCGCAGTTAGAGAAGGTGTCACACACGCGCGGTTAACTTGGACGGAATGGGGGAACCGTGCAACAATTACATAAACACAAGGGGGTCTGGTGCAGTTTTTAAAACACAGTGGGAAAACGCGCACATTTCGTTAAACACAGAGGGGTTTGGTGCAATTTACCCGTAAAATTTATGAGGTTTTATTTAATGGAATACTACTATATATATAAGATTCCTAAGTGAGCATCATATATGTGTATATGATCAATAATAATGTATTTATACTTAATTAAGAAAATAATATTAAATGTTACTATCATTAACGATTGGAAGCGATAATAGGTTGAACACCTTAAAAATAACGAGAAACAGTATCAAGACCACAAAATCACCGATTTGCAGTGCCTCCTCACCGGAGGGTGGGCCGTGCTCAGCAGCGCGAGTCGTCTATTGTCAGTCCCTGGTCGGACGATTCCTGGCGAGCGGTGGTCGTCGTTCTTCGAGTGGGTTGCTTCCTTCCCAGTGGCCATGTTGAGGAGGGTGATTCGGTTGCCGATTTGTTAGGGGTGCGGTGGGCTGGCTGGAGGTCGTCCTCGGCCTTTAGCTTGTGTTTTGACCTCTTTCCGGCGGCCCTTGGTGCTTAGTCGTTGGAACTCTGCGGCCTGCAATAGTTCTTGGAGCTGCAATGGGTGGGGGACTGGTGTGACAGTTTGTGGGGTTGGGGTCTCCGGGGCTCGTTGGTGGTGGACTTGGGTGGCTTCGCGCCTGTAGGGCTGGTTTGGTTTAGCCGTCTTTGGTTGGAGTTTTCTACTCTAGACCGTGGGAGGCGTAGCTTTCGTTGGTGGTTCATTGTCGGGGTGTGGATTTGCTCCGTGACAGTTCGTTAATCGTTGCGCCTGGTGGGGAGGGCCCGTTCTTATTTTAAGTTCTATTTGTTTTTTTGGTTTTGTGATGTTAGTGTGCGTTTGTATTTTTCTTATCCTATTAGGGAGAGTGTATTCTCCCGTTGGAGACTATGTGTTATTCCACTGGAGATTGGGTATTCTCTTATTAGAGTGTGTGTGTTTTTTCTTTTGTTGTTATGTGTGTTGTAATTGTTTTCTCTAGGCTACATTCGTTCTATTCGGTAGGTCTATCTTTTCCGACTAGTGAGTCTGGTGTAATTACGTGTTTATTATTATAAAATCTATGATTTTTTTTAGAAAAAATAAAAGAAATAGTATCAAGACAAGCAGCACCCCATATTCTGAAACACAACTCTTTTTCTACAATTATTCCTTGAAGAGAGAGGAAACCAATTTTTTTTTTTTTTTTGGTACCTTCTGGTTTCTAGATCCACAGGGGAACCGACTAACCCAGAATTGAGCCGGATACGACCACAAGGACGACAAAGTTCTCCCTCAAGAATTTTAACACTGCTACACTTTCAGGGCTCGAACACGAGACCACTGATTATGTTGGAGAGAGAAGAAACCAATTGAAACTGAAAGCTAAAGAAAAGGAGAAACAATTGCCAAATAACCCGAAAATGATGGCTGACGTGGACGCTTGATGATCTATCTGCGCTTCATCATCCGACGGCCCACATTCACTCCCACCTTCTATTAATCTCGCCAGAAATCAACTTACGTCTCACTCACTTAGTCACTTTTCTGTTTCCCACACACAAAGGCACACACTCGAGTGTGAGAAATCAATTTCAACCCAACACATGACGCTGGGCAAGCGCGGCAGGCCGCGCGGCATCCCGGTCCTTAGGACGGAGGCGACCACGGCGGGTGTCACGTTCGACGTCGGCGTCCCCGAGGTGGCGGCGCCGCCCAATCCGCTGGCGGCGATGGTCGGAGGTGAATTCAGCAGCGGGTACAACAGCTTGCTGCCGCCGAGGTGCTTGGGGAACAACTTTTCCGGCGGCGGCGAGCATTTCGAGACGGCTGATTTCTTGAAGATCTGCGGCCGCTGCCACCGCCGGTTGGCCCCCGGCCATGATATCTATATGTATCGGTAACCGCTTTTTTTTTCCTATTATTTTTTTTAATGAATGTTGTGAAGTATGATATATGATTAACTGATGAAAGAGAAAA